GCACTGTGATCTAGCTTTTATACATAGGAAATATTTATAAATAAATGATAACACTGTTTTCTTTTATAAATTTTTCTGTACATCATTTTCAAGCAAAATTCTAAACTTTATGATTTTACAAAAAGAACATGCTTTGCTACGAACTGCGAATCTCTTTTCTGAGAAGTTATTAAAAATATGTCCGTAACTATTTTTGTTCTTTTGTATGGATCATGCATCAGTTCATGAAAGTTAGTTTTTGACTATTTTGCATATATTTGCTTTATTTTCAGCTACAATTGGTGTAAGAGCAATGATTTCCGTAACGGAAACAGAAAAAGGTTCCCATTACGGTGAAACGAAAAATAATAGTCAAAAGAAAACGCAATAGAATATGTTTTATACTCTTTTTGTTTCTCATATCAGCAAAAGTTCTGCTGTCGTTCTTTTTCTAATTTGTGATATTTTTACAAAACAATTCATCCACCGGCACAAAAATAAAGCATTTTGTTTTTTTTTTGATTTTTTTGATACATATCTTTATTTTTGATAATTTATATCCACATTTTTCTTGTCCCGTGGTTTCATTTTCTCTATTTTCCATAAAAAACATTTTTTTGTATAACATCTATAATGAACTGCAATACTCTACATAAAGTTTTTAGTTTGATTATTTATTATTTTTAGAATACAATAGAGTTGTTGTATACGTTGTTCAACGGGTATTTTATTAAAATGACAAAGATATTGTTTGTTTACGAAGAGAAATATGAATGTAGCGGAAGGGAGTTGCTCGACTGTATCTAAATTTTTTCATCATTAGAAATAATCGAAAAGGAGACTGTAAACAGTTTAAGCTATCGATAGAAGAACGTAGAATTTAGCATTTGTATTGTGAAGATTTGCAAAATTTATTCGTTATTATATAACAATATTTCCTTACTCCATTTTTCAATAAAACTTTTAGTTGATTTGTGATTAATTGAGAATTTCCTTCCTCTCTCCCTTTCTCCTTGTCGATTTGCGTTCATGTTATTGTTCTCCAGTTTCTTATAGCAGTTTTATTTTTATTTTTGAAGCAGTTATCTGTCCTATTTTTCGTTCTATGCATATCACTGTGTTATCTTTACTAACGGCTTTGTAGATGTTGTTTGCTATAGAAATTAGTTCAATCTTCATTTTCTATTAATAATCTTCATTCACAATTTTCACAAACGTTTATTGTGCTATAATGATAAGAAATGTCAATGATGACTTATGAAATATTTAGTATATCTACAAGTAGCTTGTAGAGAATGAATAAGTCTCTAACATTCGAATAGAGATATACATATATTATCTGAGATATCTCTCTATTGGCATTTGGTTCACATTTGTCACATTTTTCTTCACAGAAAAGAGGTGAGTTATTCAACAAGATATGTTTACACTTTCAGTCTACTCTGCTACTCATTTTTCTCAAATATATCAAACTGTTTCTCTTCTTTCTGTTCCATCATTTTGTCAGTTGAAAAACAACAAAAATGCGAGAATATAACTTATCTTTTCTGTGAAGAAAAATGGGATAAATGTAAAGCAAATGGGAATAAAGATATATCTCAGATATATCTCTATTCGAATGCCAGAGGCCTAATGGTAGTTCTTGTGTGAGAATATTTTTAGTTAATGGTATTCTGATAGATGTTGAAGAAATTTTTAAAAATCATATTTTTAGACGTAGCGAAAGTTTTTCTTTTCCGTCCGTTCATGTAAAACTAAATTTCAACCGTTATTTACTTAAATTGTAATCTAACTATATTAGTTTTATCCAAAATAAATAAAATTCTTAATAAAAAAAATGTTTTTTGTGAAAATTTTTTTTAAGTTTAGCAACTTGTATTCTTAAATTTTTTTAGTTCTGTTTTTAAGTCCGTACAACATAGACGTGATTATCAAATTTTCGAACTATAGAGAAGAAAATTAATTTCAATTGGTATTTATCAAAATGATGAAGATATTGTTTGTTTACAAAGAGAAATATGAATGTAGCAGAAGAGAATTGCTCGTCTGTATCTAAATTTTTTCTTCATTAGAAATAGTCGAAAAGGAGACTAAAATAGTGCGAACTATCGATAGAATAATGTAGAATTTAGCATTTGTATTGTGAAGATTTCAAAAATTTATTCGTTATTTTACAATATTTCCTTTTAAAGAAGAGTAGTAGATCAATGCAAGCTTCTCACTTGAATTTATTGAAAGAAAATACTACAAATAGCAATTTTTTTCCTCAGGAAGGAAAATATTTGGACAATTTCAGATTGAGATCATCTGATGTATTTCAAAACTAATTGCTTACGTCAGATAATCTCAATACATCAACTCTGCTAAATAATTACTGTCAGAGAAAGATAATGATAGATGACAAATGATTTGGACAAAGAAAGAATTATCTGTTTTTTGTTAATAAACATAATGCGGAATCTTTTGCAATGACAAATTAAAGAAATTTAAAAATATATTCTAAATATATCAAATTTATTCCCAAATACATAAATCATAGTATATTCGTTCTTTCATAAGTGTTTCATATCTTTTTATGTCGCGTACTTTTACATACAATTTTATGGTTCTATTGTATCATTAAAAAAGAACTGAGGAACAGATGGCAGACAAGTAGTTTTATCGTTCAAATGGCGAATGATGAATATCGCTTTTTCACTTACTCGAGTTTATTACTTCATCGTTTTATTAGTTTTTTTCCATACATTTTAGCTGGCTACCTTTTATTGAGACTAAAAATAACTGTGTTGCATTTAATAACAACAATTCATAATATTGTGTGCTCTGTCAACTGACAAAGCATCAAAATATCGATTATCATACTAAAATTAAAGCTTCGAATACGATTATTCTGATTTATAGATGATAAGTTTTGTAATCGGTTTGAATGTAATTGTTTTATATCTTTTATATCCTCTATCTCTAGTTAATTCTCACACATGGACTTTTTTTTGACAACATATATTTATATCACCACATTTTAAAACAACATGCAGGTGTCTACCTTACATATTGCTTGACATCATTATGAATAATAAAAAACATAGTTCTACTCGATTTACATTCATTATTTGTATTCTAATCTTTGACTTTTTTACCTGAGTCAAATGTGAAAACAAGTCGAATGTTATAGACACAACGGACACGCGATGCATAAATACTTTACTCACGAGTCCATTTTACGATAATTCATTTTCCTTTTAAAGTCAACGTAAGGTGCTTTTTTTATTCTAAATTTCACTTATGCATACAGTAAAGTCACCTCATAATCTGTCATATTTGGAAACTGTATGATAGAATATTCGATTTACTTTTCACCGCTTTTTTAACTAATTCTTGGTCTTTTGTTTATATGATGTGCATAAAATATTCCCATTTTTATACACGATTGGCAAAATTGTTTTCCCAGAGGAGTAGATCTCAAACGACACAATAATACAAGAATGAATTATACATCAATTTAATGCTTATTTAGAATGCGATTAATGAGTATAATTAATCATCAGTATAACGATTGTTGGATGTAGAATTGTGGAAAATTTTCTGAAATTTTTCGGACCACAAGAGTGGTAAAATGTGACAAAACTACAAATGATAAAAGAATGATGAATATCAATGTTTACTTTTCATGCGCTTGATGAAAAACATTTTTGCCAATGTAAAAAAATAAGTTTTGATTTGCTATATTCATCACTCTTATATCATCTGTAATTTGAGTTTTATCTCCTGAAAAAACATTTTTGCCACTCCTGTGTTCCGTAAAAATCCAAAAATTTTTCTGCAGTTCTACAGCCAACAATCGTCATACTGATTGATTGTTAATTATACTCATTAATCCCATTCTTTTTTTCCCAATTTTTTTCAAGCATCGTTTTGTTTTGTCAACGCTATAGTACATGCCATAGTACACTTATAATACTTCAGTTGTATTTTTGACTTTATATTTTCCTTCTCACAAGAGAAGTGTCGAGGTAGTAGTACTTGCTGCATAGTTATGACACAACAATGTAGTGCTGATATATACGGACACTAATTAAATACAAAATTAAGTAAAAGCAGCTATACGGCGGAACTGGTAAAAACAGTGCCACATCAATTTTTACCAGTGCTACATTTTTCTGATAACAGAAAAAATTTCGATGCCACACTGCATGTGCACATCAGTGTCTTCTATCGCCACTTGCTAGGCACTAGTGTCAACATGTGGTAGTGACACATGGCATGCCATGCGCACCGGCAGTGTGACACTGAAAGTTTTTTTGTGAGAAACTTACAAAAAAAATATTTAACATATCGAACAAAATGGTAAAAATATGATCGTAGACTAAGCAATAAATAATTCTTAGTACGATTCTAATAAGAAAGTGTTTTCTAAATTTGAGAAATCGACTTGAATCAGAAGAGAATCTCAGAGTATTTTAAGGATCTACAATCACCAGACATCTACACCCAACATTGCAGGTATTATTTTTTTCCAATGAATTTGCTACAGAAATATCGTTAAATTTTCTACTTTCCAAAGAAAAGAGCCTATTTTATTTTTCTCATTACTTTTAGGTGCTTTTTGTTATTGAGTTTAAGAATGACTGTCGTCGATCTGTTTAAAAAGTGTCAAACATTCTTTCTTGTCCAAGGATTATTGGGTTATGTTTTTATAATCAGTGGTTTAATTGTTAATTTTCTACAATTATGTTCATTAGTTGTTTGGCCATTTAGTAGACAATTATATCGAAAAATTAATTGTCGATTAGCCACATTGATATGGTCTCGTATGTAGTGCTTTAGAATATTTTTAATGTTATATTTTTAGTTGTTTTTCTATTTACATTTTAGAATTGACATTTTTAAATCAATGGTGGTCTTACAGTGATTGTGTATTATATATTGATCCAAAGGATCTTGAATATTTAAAACATGAACATTCCATATGTCTTACGAATCATAAATATCCAATTGATTGGCTATTAGGTAATGAAGAAATAATTAAATAGAAGAATTTATCTTTCATCTTTATTAAATTCTTCTTTTTTTTAAAAAGGATGGGTGATAGCACAAAGAATTGGATTGCTAGGTGTAAGTAAACTACTTTTTCTATGGTCTTTCTAGCGTCATTGTTTTCTTTAATAGGGTTCAAAAATCGTCGGAAAAAAATCATTAAGTCAATTGCCAATTGTTGGATGGACCTGGATGTTTACTGAATCTATATTTCTAAAAAGAGTATGGGAAACAGATAAAAATATTCTTTATGAAGATGTACAACGAATACTTGGAGATTATCCAAAAGACTATTATTTCAACGTAGGTTATTTAATAACAATATTAAACCATCTTCTGTATTTCGTTTAATATTTTTTTTTGAATTTCTTCTAGTTTTTGATGACATGCGAAGGTACCAGATTTACTGAAAAAAAACGTGTAGAAAGTATGAAAGTGGCAAAAGAAAAAGGTCTACCAGAATTAAAACATCATATTTTACCAAGAACAAAAGGATTCACATTAATTATGCAAGGTGCAAAAGGAAAAAGTAGGATATCGACTTTAACAATGAAATATATCAAATAATTATTTTGTATCTAAATATTAGTCAGTGGTGTATACAATTTTACACTGGCATTTACGCCAGATAGTGCACCACCATTGTTAACAACATTAATAAAAGGACAAGCATGTAAAGCTGAATGTTATATCAAGTAATTTATAATGTAATTCAATTATGCTTAACAAAATCAAATAATTATTGTTTTAGGCGAATACCAGTGACAGAAATCCCGTATGAAGATGAAAAGAAATGTGCCGAATGGTTACATAAACTTTTCCAAGAAAAAGTATTTTACACTCCTCTAATGACCAATTTATACCAGATGATAAATAACCCATGTTTTTTTTCATTTTTCGTCTAGGATCAAATTTACGATTATTTTGATAAACATAAAACATTTGAAGGATTAGATTTACCGAAAGTCTATGTACCACGAAATTATAATGATTTGATAATTGAACTATTTTGGACAATTGTTATTGGTATTCCGTCCATATTTTTATTGATTCGATTTCTTTGGACAAGTTCACTTACTGCACAAATTATTTTTCTTGTCATCGTTATTGCATGTAAGAAAACAATAAATTTCATTGTATCTGTTTTCAGTATATATATTTATGTGATTATTAATCGTTGTGTCATTCACTTGAACATCGTAGGACTAATGATTCTACTCAAGATCATGGTTTTTTGATAAGAAAAAACTGTAGTTTTCTTTTCCACTGTTAGACTAATGAAATTCGAAAACGTTCATGATCTTAAATGACTTTTGTTTTCTTAATTTTAGCTATAATGGGTGTTCGACGGATGATTGATGTAGCAACAATCAAAAAAGAACAGTGAATAATACATTGTGCAAAAACTATTTTTATTTTCTAGTAAAATAAAATTTATCTGATTTTTCTATCTTTTTTTTTTTTCATAGAAGTTCCGGGTTTTTTTTACTCATTTGGTCTTCCTATATGATTTGTGATTGTTTCGTCTTGTTGTTTTTATATTTTCTGTATTCTTGTTAGTTCTACTGAACGACAACGGTGGATTATGTGATTTCATATCTCACAGTTTTTCTATACTAATACGGTTTTTCTCTGTGGTTGCAATTTCATCTTGTTATTGTTTTCTTTTAATCTCATATTAAAATAGTTTACTATTGAAATTCTTATTGTAGATGAATTAAAGTACAACGATAGGTTCAAATTAATCATCTGCAGGAGTTGAACATTGAACGCATTTATAGCGCTACTAGGAAGAGTACCTCTGCTTTGAGGAACATTTGTGATTCGGAGAATTATTATGAACAAAACCCGTCATGAAATTCTAGAACGGTACTGCTCATCAGTTTATTTACACGAACTCTATTTTTTATTAATTAAATTGAACTTCTGATGATTGTAATCTTTTTTGTTTCAAATAAGGTGCTCCAAATTCGAAGTTACAGTGAAATTCGCAATCCACTCTTGTTGCATATCCCTAGACGCAGAATTTTACGCTAATTTAGAATATCACCTTTAAAATTCGATTAACCTGCGTCTTCGTTGAGAAAAGCGGAAAAAACGAAAAAACGTGTTTTTTTGCCAAATCGGCTAATTTTGTAAAAATCACTTTATATTTTGTTACAACAACTATTAACCTTCAAAGTTAGTTATTCTGACTCATCGTGAAAAACTGCATCGATCTACGTAAGTTTTAAAATTTTCCAATGAATAAAAGTGATCCGTGAATCTGGAATCTGCTCTAGTAGCTAGAACTATTTCTAAGTGTTCTCCGTGAATTCTTCACATCAAACCCGCCGACTTCCGCAAATCCTAAGATCCTTATTTCGCATGACGAGAGCAGTTTCAGAAACGGAGAAATTAGTCCTCGCGGCGGTGGATCATCGACGATTCCGCCCCATTCATCAGCAAAGGACGTGGCCGTACTCATATGCTCTCTGATTTTTGACGGCTGCGTCCCACTCTTGTTGATTTAGTTGGAAAAATGGTGACGAAGGGTGTTGAACGAGAAAATCAGAGAGCATATGAGTACGACCACGCAGATGTTTTCGATGCAGAAACAGTCGTTGTTCCTACTTTAAACCATCATTTTGGTACATCTGTTACCTCTTTCAATTAGACACATTAAACTATCCCAGGTCGGGTCGTACGTGCACGTCACTCTCTGTACACAACGTGCACATGACATGTGTGTACGTCATGCGTATTTACTATACAAAATGCATATCATGCGTACAATGTACACCATGTACCATTTTTAGAGGTTTATCATAGATGTCAGATAAACATGTGACTATGGAACTGTAGAAAGAGAAAATCTAAAGTCACGCTCGGTAAGCGCACCGTGCATACACGTTTATTATGCGTACCGATCGAAACGTACGTCACGCGTACGTCACGTACGGAGAGTCACGGGCGCGTACAACGGGCGTAGCGCTCTACCTGGGATACTTGCTACCATAATTCAACTTTCATTTTGACATATCAGATCGCAGAAAAACTTTTATGTCAACCCAAAATAGCGCGCACTACTAGCAAACTTTTATTAGACCTCAAAGATCCTAAATCTTTAAAACGTACACTGACACCTTATGTGAGGTTATCAGTTCTGAATTACTCTAAACTGTTTATTTAGCAGTTCTGAATTTGGTTTGTTCTTTTTCAGGTTAAGATACAAAATTCAGGTGTCAATGTAAAATAACATTGTTCTTTACTATACGCTGTATATCCAGGTTTAGCAGTCAACAGCAGTCCATACTAAAAAGCGTACAATTAAATCAAACATTACATTCGAAAACTAGTACACGTTCCTAGTATGGGCCGTTAACAGCCGTTTCTTTCAGGCGTTTCATTATTTTTACTGGTTTAAAGTTCCATTATAAAACGACTTTTATGAGGGATATATGTATATCTTCGTTACAAGCAAAGGAGATTTTAAACAAAATTAGTTCAATGAAATCGCCATATAATATGACGAGGAAAAGCTCGTTGACTCTTCTTAAAAATATATAGCGCAGACTGAGCCACAGATGTCAGGCAAGTATCGAACAAGGATTGGATGCTATTGCTTTTGCTGGGCACGAGAGAAAGAAAAAGAAAATGCAAAAACTGTACAACAAGATATCTAGATTTTATATTGGAACGATTATCTTTACTGTTAGTACAACAAAAAGATCATCTTTATTTAGCGGCATTATGCTAAATAGGTAACAGTATGCATGCACGTTTGTTTCAGATGAGTGTAGCACTCATTTTTGCATCTACGTATATAGTTTGATGCTTGTAAGACTAAGACTAAGACTTGTTGCAGTATATACACTATATTCATGAAATGTTCACAAAAGATACTCCTTTGGAAGCACCGTTCATGTAGCCAGATTAGTCAGGTTCAATTCTTACTCTGCTTTCTATTTTTTTGAAAGGCTTATGTCTAGAAGTTGTCCTAACTTTGTGTCTTCTCTATCCTGTCCCGCTTTTGAGCAAATTTTTAGTTGAATTGTCATTTGATTTCCAGCTATAGCCTCATTTTACTCCCTTGACGCTTGGCTAAGGGCGCAATGTTTTGTCATTCACCATTTTGATTGTCTTGTTTATTTATTTTAGATATATCAGAATTTAATATAACAATTAAATTAATTGATTATTGTGACATGTGAATAATTTGAAAAGGTAAATTAGAGTTTATGACTAGTTTTACTCGTAACCCGTATCTAAACTGAATATACAGCGTCCTCTCTTGTTTTCCGAGTTAGTATTTAGTTTTTTTCTCTGGTAAATAGTTTCTCTTATTTTCTCATGTCGCAGTAGTTAGTAGGACTTTTATATCGAATATCATCTAATAACTCGTATTATCTTTTGTATTATGCGCAGAGCTGCAATTTCAGATAAATGAAAGGTAATTGTATTGCGTTGTTGCTAATTTTTATTCTACATTTACTTTTTTGAGTAAACTATACCGTTCTTACTTTCAAGAAAAAAAACACATGTTAATTTTTGCAATGATACAGGGTTAAACATCAAGATAATAAAAGCGACCAAATAAATCATCAATTTTGTTTCCCTTTTTGTTTGTTTTTTAAATATTTTCTATTCACATTATGCTCAATTTAGCCGCATATGCTAATGTTAGCTTCTGATTCCTAGAAATCTATTAGCAGATCAACAAAATCTCATAAAATTACTGAAAATTAATCAGAAAGACGAAATATATTTAATATTGAATTAGTTTTTTACATTTAAAAAACTATATATTTGACAGAGAATAAAAATGATGGATGACTTATGCGAAATTGATAGCTTAAAGAACTAAAGATTATTATCGTCGCATCATTCATTACATCAGAATAATCGTTTTCAATATTCTTCTGGAATTTACTCAGCTTTCAGGACTTGTATTATATTACCAACTTCATGATCACAGTATAAATGATTTCTATTCTGTTATCTTCACATCAACTGATTCATATTTGCGAAGTTTTATATAAATCATTATTATCAAACGAAGTGTTCGTCAATTAATTTATTTAATATTAAGTATTATGATGTCCGCTGTTTTTTCTTCTTCTGACAATTCTCTCGATCTCCTGCATGTGTTTGCTAAGAAATATTATCTATCTGTTGTTTTTCTTCTATATAGTTAATATCTCTCACTAATCCATTCGTATATATGTCATGTGTCAATAAAAGAAAATAATTTTTAATAAAGTTTGTGATCGTAAACATTCATTCATCGATCTAATCTTCTCAGATAATTTTTAAAAAAGGTCATTATCATTTTAAAAGTGAGAAGAAAAATAAAAAAACAAAACAAAAGCACCACACTAGTTCTTCTTTTTCATATAAACATTGATAATCTAATTTTAAACATGTTTTATCTTGGAAAAAAAAATTAAAAATCATTCTTTTTCAGACATTATTACATATAATCTTGTATTGATTCTCTATATATATATTTACTGTTCTATTTTGATGGGTACTTGGTAGTTTTCCTCTTATAACAATCATTTGATAGGCTTATCACCATTAATGTGTCGACATACACATATATTTGGGATAAAGAATGTTTTTAAGATGATGTCAATATGTGTGTACAATGAATATTTGATCAATGATGTTTTGTCAGTTTTACATTTTGAGATAGAGAAAACTATGAAAATTAGTATGTGAAGGTTGGCTTTAAACAAAGAAGATATTAGACCTACAATTTTTAATAATAAATAATTGATAATGTAACTGATTATTTAAATTATAAATATAATTATAAATGATAATTTGGAGTCTTTTATCATAAATCTGTTGTTTTCAATATTCATCGTTCAAATTAGATGCATTATTAATTTAAATTTTTTTTCTCTCATAATGATCCACTTCTAAATATGTTCGTTCAAATTAATAATTGTTAATAGATAGTTTCTTTATTAGTGAATATTTCAACAAGATAACATGTTGCAAAAATGTTGTACATATTTCTTTCCTATCTATTTTTTTATTTGTTTGTTTATCGCTTTGTCTTCTTTCATGCAGAGTATATAATATACGTATAAAATGTAGACAATCATCTGGTATTTGTCTCTCATTCTCATACACACAAATAATTCTTATTAACATACGCTTAATTATATTTTTCGTTTTATCTTGATCGTTATACACTTCTTTTTTTCCAATGTATATTGTACTAGATAAGACTAAGTATACTCTTGTATAAATGATTTTTGAACATCAATTGATCGCAAAAATATGAAAAGCTTTAAATATTTACTTAACCTGCTTTAAATTTTCATTTAATAAAATAAATAAAGTGATACGATTTTATTTTACTTCTAAATACAAATTAATCAAAAATAAATTTTTTTCAGTAAAAATGTTTCCATATTTTATATATATATGTTTTATTATACAAATTTCTCTTTTTCTTCTTTCTTTTTCACGTTTTATTTTATAATTTCTATACACTTCATACATATCGTACATTTTCTTTCCCAATGTTGTTGATTTATGATCTAGAAATTGAAGGTCATTTTGTATTTACTGGATGCATCATTTATTAAGATACCCATTTGTTGGTCTATCTCCAGAGACACTGAAATAATATGCCGATAGATAAATGACAACAATAAACGAGTCTTCATGTTGTATATCAGAAATACTGTTTTTTGATAAGTATTATTTTTTCATTTTCTCTAAATGTATTGTAGAAGTTATCTGATTTATTATTCTTAACATCAAATTTTGATACAAATAAATTAAATCTAAGAAAATATATTATTTATCTAAAAGTAATATTATTAAATTGACAAAAAAAAAAAAAAAAATCATGTAAAGTTGAATAAATAAAAAAAAAAAATAACATTTTAATTTATTCAAACTAAAATGACACATTTTTATTCTCATATTAGCTAACGGAAAGAAAAATTAGTGATGTCTTATATATTGCAAGAAGGACATTTATTGTGATTAAATATTCTTTAATAAATTTGACAAGGTTAAAATATTATATTATATTATATTATATATATCCGATTACGAATAGGCACGTTCACTTCTCATTTCTCAATATTTTTTATTTTTTTTATTTCTTTTTTTTTTATTGTTATTGTACAAGTTCTATTTTCTAGAACAAAATGAATTTTTTTGAATTTACTGATGAAGAAATGATGACAATTTAAACAAAAACCACTACATGGATAAATTAAATTCCTGGTTATCATGAAAGTAATTAGAATAGGGGTTTCTTTTTTTTTTTTTTTTTTTTCTTCCTCTTTTTCTTAATAACAATAAGGTGATGGACGAAACACTTTGTATTTTATTATTGAATAAAAAAGAAAACTGTACATACCAAGTGTCAAATTGACAAGAGAGACCGACTTGAATCATTTTTCTTTCTTTTATCGTTTTCTCTTTGTATAATATTCATGTATATCAGTTTACAATATATTCATCTAAAATTTTATTCTGGCGTGAAATATGATTTCATCACAGATTTGTGTTCATGCACGATTGATGCTACTCGAGTTATGTGAAAAATAAAATTAATATAAGTTCAGTTAAGAATTCGTGTGACGTTTTTTGTCTTCTATTATTAGATACAAAATATATAATTTAGTGTAATCTTTGGTTCAGAAATTTAACTATCACCTAAATTATTTCGAATTTTTTCAAAAGTAAGCAATTTTTCAACGAAGAGAAAAATCGGTGAGAGTTTACATAAAAGTCTTATTTTTTTATACTATTTTTGAGATCAATTATGTTAAAAAATTTTAGTAAGTTCTTTTCAATTCACAAAAATAGAGTATCGAACATCGCCAATTGAGAAAAATGAAATTTTAGATCTGATATACAGATAGAGTGCATTTTGCTTTCTCTTATAGAAAATGACGATATAACTGTAGAGTTATCTCAAATAAAAAAGCGTTTTTTGAGATTTGATAGCTTTATTCTTCCAGAATATAAGCGAAAATAAATATAATCAATTTTATACACGTGAACATACTAAAATCAAAATATTCTCTATGTATTAATATTTTGAGTTCAATTTTTTTGTGTTTTTTGTTTTTAATTTGTTATTTTTTTTTTTTTGCTAATTTCAGATACTGAAAAGATGGTGGCAATTAAAACGGATGATTTTGATAATTATTATGAAATTTTGGATGATTTAGGCAGTGGACAATTTGCTTTTGTTAAACGTGTAAAAGAACTAAATTCGGGTCTTAGTTATGCAGCAAAATTTGTTCGAAAAAAACGTTGTATTGCCGGCAAACGTGGTCTTAATCGAGAAGAAATATTACGTGAAGCTGAAATATTATCACAATTGAATCATCGAAATATCATTACATTACATGATATTTTTGAAAATAAACATGAAATTATTCTTGTTCTTGAATTGTATGCATTATCATGGATGTTAGTTCTTTTTATCAAAAAAAGTTTGTTTTTGTTTATGTAAGAGTTGGTGCTGGTGAATTATTTCATTATATAGCTGAAAAAGATGCATTAACAGAAGAAGAAGCTGTCTCATTTATATTACAAATATTAGAAGGTGTTCATCATATGCATGAAAAAAATATTGTTCATCTTGATTTGAAAGTATGATAACATAATTATCTTAGTCATAATATTATATAGTCTCCTATACTTTTATGTATTTAGCCTGAAAATGTTATGCTATTAGAAAAGAATAAAACACAAATAAAAATAATTGATTTTGGTATATCAAGACAGTTGAAACCCCACGAACCGACGAAAGAAACATTTGGAACACCAGAATTTGTTGGTAAGTAAAACCTACAGTGATATAAAAACTATAAAAATTTTTATTTTTTCCAATCAATTGTATCCATTTCGTTATTTTACATTCATGTTTTCTCCATTAATATACAAATCCAAAATGTCGTACTATATAGCGTTGTTATAATTGGAAGTCTATGATTATTCGTTCTACTATTAAGTTTTATCTCATATTATAGTTACTGTACATCATCCTATATTATTTTTCTTTTTAGCACCAGAAGTGATTGCATTTGAACCAGTGACATTAGCTACAGATATGTGGAGTATTGGAGTAATAACCTACATTCTGTAAGTAAATGTCTATGCTATCGAATATATATTTATTCATTGAATTAATATTCTAGATTAAGTGGTGCATCACCATTTTTGGGTAATACTAATCAAGAAACTTTTACCAACATTACTCAAGTTGATTATCGTTTTGATGAAGAATTCTTTTCGAATACTAGTGATTTGGCGAAAGATTTTATTCAACGTTTATTTATTAAACATCCAAGGTTTGCTACTATTTTTAGATACTTTTTATACTTTAGATTAGTTTAGATATTCTTCTGTATATATCTAAATTCTAGTGATTTCAATTTATCTGTCTCTATGCAGGTATTTTGTTTTAGACATATGTGAAATAGCGTAGTTGGTTTTGTCCTTTTTTTCTTTGCTGGACTAAAAATAGACGATGGTGTATGCTAAGAGAGATAGTATTACAAGGAGCATGCTCAGCAAGTGTAGAAGATGTTGATAATGAGTGGGTTTGCGAGTAGACTGAACGAAATCTTCGAAGAAAAACAAATGGTGTATCGTAGATATTTTTGAAAAAATGCTTATATCTTGTTTTTTTTTCTTTTAGAGAACGAGCGACAGTTGAAGACTGTTTGAATCATCCATGGATCAAAGTAAGTAAATCACGTTTCAAAATTGAAAATTTTCGCACATGATTAAGTTAAACGACCATCTATGACATTTAGATCGCTGAGAAAATCATTGGCTATATAAAACAATTACTAGATAGGATAGCTTTCCGAAGATCTAAAACACAAAAGTTTTCAATTGTCTAATAATGCTCTTGTATAAAAACAGTGACATTTACCATTTTCTGAAATTTTCAAGCAACTTAGAATAGTTTTAAACAAATTTGAAGAGAAATATCCAAAATAGTTCCTATTAATTTTACTTAAAACAGTTTTTCACTAGGTTTTTATTTAAAGCTTTCATTTAAAAGCAAAGATTATCACGAGATTGCCAAAAATTGCAGACGAAGAGTTGATACTTTTATGCAATTGTAGAACAAAAATCGATTCTAAAGTTCAATCATTGTCATGTAAACTCTGTGTTAGCTAACATATATATGTGTGTGTATATGTACATGTGTAGAATTGCCTAGAAATTAGCAAGGATACCACATTCACGAACGTAAGTTTCGTTAACTAAATCCTTTCAACTTGTGTTTTAGCCTCGTCGTAAACAAGACGAAGAAGAACGTCGCCATGCTCAAATAAATATGCCAAGTTTTAAATCATTTATTGCTCGTCGACGATGGAAGGTACAAATGCATTGTGAATCTCGTATCTTGCGCACAGTAACAACTAAGTATACGGATAGAGATGGAAATGTTAAATCTAATAAACGTAGTGAAAGAAAAGGTAAAACAGCTATTTATGAAGGACATTATTCTGAAACAGATTCAGAAGATGAAACAGTGTCAGAAGAAATAGTTTCAAATAATCAAAATGGTGATGAGCAACAACAATCGGATCCAAGTGGTCGAGTACGATGTTGTCCACAAAATATTGAATTACGACAAGTAAAATCCAGTGAATATGTCGAATCATTTCAAGAAGATGAAGAAGGCGACGATGATTATCAAAGTAAAGCTGGACGTGCAGCAGCAGTAACATCACTCATCAATCCCTTACCAAATGAACAAGTAGTTAGTGATCAACATTCACTCGCACAATCAAATGATTGTAAAATAATTGAAACGGTCGATGAGCAAACGGGAGAAAATGTTCGTCACACTATTCAAAATAAAGTACAAACAGATGAAAATTTAAAAATGTCGAAATCAGACAATGTACAGTATGAAGAAACAGAGGAAGGCCTCTTGAAAAAAGTTACTACAAAGACGAGAAACGTAAAAAAAGTTATCAAAACGACAACCTCTTCAAAACAAAAAGATGTACAAAGGGGTAAAATCGATGACAGTGTTATCCAAAATTCAAGCATGGGCTATCTGATGTGTTGTTTACGCATGGATATCTAGTAAAATGATTTTAAAATAAGAGCTATGTTCTCGAATGCATGCAATATTTTCATTTTTTGTGTGTTGCCTTGAGAGATTCGTTAATTGTTTAATCATATTGTTTATGCTTGGGTTTTTGTCTCATGTCGCAATAACTAAAATCCATCTTTCCGTTCGCTCTCTGTGCTTAAACGTAAATTCAGAGAGATATTTGTTTAACATCATACTATCCCATTGAATACTTTTTAACATTGATTCTCTTGAATATTTGATATTTATTGTAATTTATTTTTGTTTTTTGTTTAGAGGTGTGTCAAGGCGATCAGTCTTTGTAACAAAATATTACGTCAATCACAAATGAGATTATCATCCGCCATTAGTTTAGATGCAGTAAATTCAACATTTTCTCCTAGTCGAACACGTGTAGAAGTATGAAAATATAACTGTTTATCTTTACACTCATCTGTATCTATTGTTATGTTTTTAGAACGATGATGATTTTGTTCTAGCAGCTTTATTGTGTGCAGCAGAAGACGGTGATCTTGTAAATATGAAAAAATTATGTAATATAGCAACAATCGATGTTAATAAAGAAAATAAAGTATTTAAAAGATAAAAATAACAATATAAAGAGAATCCGATGTTTTGATATTCTTTTAGCATGGCGAAACAGCTTTGCATTTCGCTTGTGGAAGTGGTCATTTTGATATTGTTAAATTATTATGTGATAGAAAAGCAAATCTCTTTGTTGTGGATGGAGTAAGTTCGAACATAATAGTATAAACATGTCTGTTCTTTCTCCAAATAAAAACACTTCAAATCTAAGAATAAAAGTTTTCATTTTTCTCGTAGTAGTTAATTATATTGTAATGTAACTGATCTTTTATATTCGCAAACTGCTATTCATACTGCAATTACCGCTGTATTCATTCGTCTTCTAAACTAGTCGTCGCAAGCTATGGAAAAATAAAACGACCTTTGTGTATATTTTTCTATATAGTATGGAAATAACACTATTTATTGGGCAGCACGGCAAGGTCACGTTCAAATAATAATCTTTCTTCATGAGAAAGGTGTACAAATTGATTTACCAAACAGAGTAAGAAACAATTTAAGAAATTGCTTCTTTTTCTGATGTTCATTCTCCTTTTTGGGTATTAGATTAATGAAACAAGTCTTCATGTTTCGTCGAGATATGGTCATGCACATGTCACTGACTATTTGTGTAAAGTGGGTGCCAATGTTGACGCACAAGACGATGTAAGTTGTTTTTTTATATATGAAATGAACGTGCTTGTTTTGCTGCTTATTTCACATTTATTTGTTGTTGGCTTTATTAGGAACATGAGACGTCGCTCATGTGTGCGACATGGCACGGCTATCCCAGAATCGTTCGAATACTTTGTAATGCTGGATGTGATATTAATCTACGGAATACGGTGTGTTACTCTTTTTTTTCATTATTTATGGGAGAAGAGAAATCTTACAGAGGATACATTTACTCATTACTAAATTTTTACTCGTTACATGCAAAGCACTGACAGTGTAAGCTCTATATTCTTTATTATTTCAGCCAATAAATAAATAAATAATTTGATGATATATTTGTGTGAGTACTTTTCGAAAAGAGATGCCTTTCTTGTAAAAATGCGAATGTCTGCTGCATCAAATTGCTTTTTTTTTATCTATACAAGCTCGTGGTTATTTTACGTTAGAATTTTAATTGTAGAAGTTTATCAGTTTATTTTTTGATGAGTGAATTTATATTAGTTTAAATTTTATTTTATTTGAGCATACGTGTCATTGCTGCATGTATGTAAAAATGACCAAATATTTGAGTTGCGATATAGATAGAGTTGCAAAATATATGAGATAGCTGGTCTCTAAATATCATCCGTATCGAAACTTGTAGAGATTTGAGAGCAACCCAATAATAACAACTATTTAAAAGAAGTTTCAACTCAGCAAATCAATTTTTGAGTTTTTCACATGAATAAATAACTTAAACTGTTCTCTTTAAAAATCTATCAGTCTCTAATTTATAGGCGCTTTTTTTACTTTCTGCAAACGTTTTCGAAAAGCATTAAGAAACATATTAGTTAAAATTAAGTATTTTACTTTGTGTTTATTTTCATTTTAAATATGTACATTTGTAGAGGAGACATATTTTCGTTAAAATAGGATGTGGCACTGGCTTGTGCAATTTTAACTAGATTTTTCTTATATAAACTTTATAAAAAGAGTAGGGAACAAATCGAAACTCAATGCAAACTAGAACAATTTTAACCTATTTTCTACAACTCTAAATGTATAAATACAGTTCATACGCAACCAAAAACATGAACGAAATTTTGAGTTTAGACGGTTTTTCATTTATGCTTGTGTTTTAGAGAAATGGTGAATCTCTTGAAAAACCTCGAATATAAGTTTTCTCAATTTTGGTCTTGCATGGTTTGTCGACACACAGTAAAAAAGAAATTCCAAAGGCATTTCGATAGAAAGTTAACTAATGCGTAGATCATTTTACAACAAAGGAGATTTCAGAAGTTATGACTGTAAAAAAAACCTTGATCATTTAACTGAAAAACCCGAAAAGCCTAGTTTTGACGCTTGCGCTACCGATAACTTGTGAACGATTGTCAATTACACGCTATAGACAAACGCTTTCTGAGGTGGAGTCGTCTTTTGTTTGTTTGGATGTCATATGACGTGTTATTTATTCCATTTTCTTTAGGAAGGCGAAACCGGTTTAATTTTGGCTGCTGCGCGGGGTAATGAAGATATTGTTCGTATTCTTATTGATAATAAAGCCAATCTTGATATGAAAGACAAAGTTCGTAAAACTCTTTAATTCAGAAAGAGTAAATGATTATTGTGTAATCTAACTGTTTTTAGCACAGTTTGACAGCAATACATTGGGCATGTAAAAGACAACACGTAGAAATTGCAATTATGTTAATTAATGCCGATTGTAATTTGAATACTATTGATATGGTAAGTGCTGAAAGTAGAAAAAAATAAACTTCATCTGTATAATGGAATTTTTTCCTAGTTTAATGAAACACCGTTACATTATTCAAGTCGAGAAGGCTTATTATCTGTTGTACAAATATTGTGTGCTTTTGGTTGTCATATCGATATTAGGAATAAAGCTGATTCAACAGGTGTGTAAAAAAATCAATTTTGAAGACTATCTTTTTAAACTTTTTTTAATTCAATAGCTTTACATTTGGCCGCACGACAAGGACATACAGAAGTTGTCAGATGTTTATGTTTGGCAGGATTAAACTTAACTATTCAGAATAAAGTTGTATAACAAAACAATTACAGCTTGACAAAACTTATGTTTTATTCCATTTAGGATGGGCGCACCGCTGCACAAGTAGCAGAAATTAGTGGTAAACCTGATATTGTCAATTTACTGAAATCATTGAGTATGGTAAGTTTTAAAATTAAAATTATTATTCAATTTTGTAAATATATCGATTATGAAAGAATAATGCCACTGCCTTTGTTCTTATCATAGCAAGATAATCGTGAAATGTTTATTGAACAACTTGTACCAACGAAAGAGCCATTAAGAAGAATTAAATTAAAAGTATTCGGAAATAGTAACGTTGGTATGTATGTATGTCTTTTGAGATATGCAATTATATCACTTATATATATCTCTATTTTAGGTAAAACGACGCTTATTGAATCATTACAGTGTTCCTATTTAAACAGTTTTTTTCGACGGAGTCGACTAGGTAGTACCAAAAAACAGTCTCGTAAGTATTTTATGATATTAATGATAATTAGATTTTAAAATTTTTAAAAACATATTCTGTTTTCTCCAGCATTATCAAACAGACATTCTATAGCATTTGACGAATTATCTCGCTCATTCGATCAAACAACAAAAATATCAAATGAAAATTCTTCAAAAGGAATTGGCGTTTATCAAGTAACGTTTACTGGTAAGTTCATCGTTAAAATGGAAAAAAGAGTAAATGTAAGTAAATGTTTCATTTTCTCTTTTATAGGCGGAGGCCAGTGGTCTGTATGGGATTTTGTAAGTATGTGTCACTTGAAATAAGTTTTCTATCTGTTATGCATTTTATTTGTCGTTATAGTCTGGCATTGATGCATATCGCACAATATATGATCATTTTATTGGTGATTACAACTGTTTACATATGATTGTATTTAATGTTACCGATGATGAAAATAAATGTGTACAAACTCTTGGCTATTGGCTAGAGTTTTTAAGAGTCAGAATTGGTGTACAAGAACCACTTGGTAAGACTCTATTGTTTGTTTGTTTGTTTGTGTATTTTTTATAATGACTTATTCTATTTGTATGTTTAGGTTTAAATGGTCAAAGTTCACAAATAGCTAAAATAATTCTCGTTGGTACACATGCTGATCAACTAATAAATTGTACAAAAAATGAAGATGGTGATTATATTTGTGAAAAAATAACACATGTATTTAATCGTATAAAAGAAATATATGAATATGATTTTGATTTTCATGATAAATTATTTTTATTGGATGCTCGATCAGCTTGGACACAAAATATTAAAAATGTAATACAATGTTTCAATTCTTACAAGGAAAAAATATGTCATGTATGTTCATACAACACAAGTATACTGTTTAATATACAAATGTTTCAATTTTTTGTTATTTGTTTCTTTTCAGAATTTAAAATCGACAACAATATTTTTAAATCGTTGTACATACCATTTACAGCAATGGCGTAAAACTTATGCCTCATTTCCTGTTATGTCATGGACAAGATTTGTTGAAAATATTCGAACAGAATTAAATCCATTAGCCAGTGATGAACACATGCAAGAACTTGTTCATCAACTACAACTTATGGGAGAAGTAGGTAGATTTAGTAGTATGATATTTAAATTTTACTTTCTGAAGATGTTTATATATGTTTTTAATATTTTCTACTTTTTTTAAGATATTGTACCTTGAAGGTGATCCTCAAGATTTAATATGTTTCGATCCTCATTGGTTATGTCATACAACTCTTGGTAAATTATTTTCAGCAAATGATATAAAACATACTGTTCTAAATAATGTTAGTAAAGTAAAATTAAAACAGCAACGATGTTTAAATGGTACCTATTCTGTCGATGATATTCAAATGATCTTTCCAGAAACTGATGCTCTTGATTTATTACAAATATTTTGTGCATTTGATTTATGTGTTCAGTATGATGTTTACGGTGATATTGAATATGAATTTCCTCAATTAAACTCGGCTGATATCATACCAGGTCTATGGGAAAAACGATCCGGTGTTAACTATACTTATATTGGATGTGAAATAAGATGTCGAACAAACAACGAATTATTGTGGGCAATATTTCCTCGAATACAAGTACAATTGAGACGTTTAATTATGTCACATGAATTTCAACAACAGTATAAAAATGAAGATATTGAATTATACCAATGGAGGTGAGTGGGAGAAAAATATGATAACGTTTCTATTCTATATTTCTTTTACTTTAAATTTAGATATGGTTCAAAATTGATATGTGGTATTATTGAATTATTACTTACTGTAAATTATCCAACTCATTTAGAATTGAAATCTCGCGGTCAATATAATGATCGTGAAAATATATTCTATTTATTTCATGAAATTTTGATGTTAGTTGAACATACATACTTGGATACTTGTCCATCTCTTCAGTTAGAATATCATTATATCTCAATAAAACATTTACAGTTAAATTTGACACCACTCCTGAATCTATTCTATCTAAATAGTGAACTTGTAAACAAACGGCAACATCAAATGAGTTTATCGTCGATATTTATGACTGATCAAAATTTGCCATCACCTACGGCTTCAACATATTCTCTACCATTCGTATTTAATAACAATGATACAATTTCCACTACATTTACACAATCTACCTCATCAACCTTCTATTATACATTTTCACCAAAATCAATAATTCAAATGCAAATAAACAAATCACAGGAAAATAATTTAATACAGGTAAGATAAACTTGTATTTAAATTAAAGAAAAACGATGTATTTCATTATGTTAACCATATAAAGATTTTTTCATGACAAATTTGTTTTTGACTATATAGAATAGAAGTCAAAACTAAATAAGATTAGATAAGATGACAATCAAAAAAGAAAAATAAAGCTATAATACTATTGAATGTCGAAAATTGTTGCTGAAACCACAATACTAGCGAAAAAAGTCCGAATAGTATCATATCTACTAATGTAAAAATGATTGCTTCTAATAAATCTTCCAATATTTCTTTCTGTTCTATCAGTATAAGTATTCTAAGCTACAATTATTTGTACTATTGTTACGAACATAAATGAAAATATTAAATCATAATTAGTATTTTAATATTCATATATGTATGATGTGTACCATTGAAAACATATTTTGTTAGTAAAATCATTTACATTTGTTAATGTATGGAAAAAAATGCTGATGCTCTAGTCCGTATCATATATTCACCAAAAATTATACCCATTGTTGATTGAATAATGATCACTATTGGTCCTTTATTAACTTGTAAATGATAAAACACTGCTGTCTTAAATTCATCTCTTTTACTTGAGTATAAGGATCCCCACCATTAATTTTGACCTGCATAAAAACTGTTTATTTCAGATATTGCTGTCAAATTATCAAAGTAATATGATATGTTTGTTTTTCGTCATTATTACTCTTCTGCTTTGTTTTCTGGTTTGGTTCTCGATAAGATTCCAGAATATTATGTAAATGAAAAAGTTTTGTCTCAGAAGTGAAATTCTGTTGAATCGTTTCATTAAAATCTTGTAACCTATCTGCTTTAATATGTTTTATTATTGTACATAAATAGTTTTCAGTTTCATTCAACAACGGTACGGTATTCACCATCTTTTTTAGCTGTTGTTGGTCAAGAAACAGAGCCGGATAAAACGTTTTTTCTCTTAATTTTCTCTAGTTATTAAATTTATTCGCATATATATTTAGAATAAAATTAAGACATATTCTGAATTGTACTCTACCTTTATTGGAGAATAAATGAAGGAAAGAAAGAAATCGCCTTTCATCTTAGCATATCACTGACAAAAGTTTGTACACAACTAACTCTACTTTTTTATTTACTTTTAGACAGTAACCGATGCAAATAACAATGATAAAAAGACTATGGTGAATAGTCATTATCGAAATGAATCTTTAAACGGTCATTCATCACCATCTTTACTAATTAAAGATATTACCGGAGAATATCAAGAAGATTTTATTGATTTAGTTTGTTGTGGTTCTCATGATCTTTATTCTAATTTACAAATGGGTATTGATTTATCTATATCAACATTATCTCTTACTACTCGTCAATTACTATGTCGTCTATTTGATAAACAAGATTCAATGGGTCGTGATTGGTGTCTATTAGCCATTGCTTTATCTATGCAACATTTGATACCATTATTGGACACGGAAGATTTATATCATTCAAAAACTGAACAATTACTCAATGAACTATGTCGAAAACGGACAACAGATGCTAATATTAAATACTTATTAGAAAAATTTCTCGATATCGATAGAAGAGATGCTTATGATCTTCTAGCTAATACATGTACACTATTTAAATTACCACAAATTCCATCTATGACAGATCAAATAACGGATGCACATGATAGTCACGATAGTGGAATACAAAATTCAACAAATACAATAGCGAGTATTAACAGATAATTAGAGAAATAAAAATCTCGTTTTCTAGCAAATTTACATAGTCAATTAATATAAAAAAATTTGAAAATGTTTTGAAATTAAAGATACCACTAAAATATTTTTGAATAGAAATATTAATTTTTGTATAAAGTAAAAAGACAATTGTTTTTTAATACTTTTGGACAAATATTTCTAGTTTAGTCACTAAATGTTCTTCCGATATACTTTAGTAAAAAATATAAAAAAATTTTTTTTTGATTTTCTAAATGAAAAGAGTTTTGATCTCATTATTTACACTGTCATAGTGATCTTTGGTTGCGTAGTTTCGTATGCCATCACTATCTTTTTGCTGAACACAACTATTTTGCTCATGTTAGAACAATATCATCAAGGTGCTAGACGTAGGTGCATACACATACATAGATATATGTATTAGAATATATATTTTGTTTTCTTTTTCTTTCACACTCGTTAGAACATAATATTACACTATGTCTTTTTCTTTTTTATAAAATTCATTTTCGACAAATATGAATTTGTTTTTTTTTGTACTTTAAATCTATTTATATATTCCTATATTGTTGAATGAACTGTATAAAAGCTATAAGCGGATGATAAACTCATTTGTGTTTTTTTTTCTTTTGTTTTGTGATAACAAAATTATATACGTTTTTTTTCTGCGTTTTTTAAATCCTGTTTTTCGTTTTTTTTTTTGATGCCATTTCATTTTTCTAATTTGTACCTGTTTTTGTATGCGGTTTTAATTTTTAATTTGTTTATTATTCATAATATATAACTATTTGAAGAATACATTCAAACGAGTAACATGAGTATACAGGGTGATCCAAAAAAAGATTATTCTTTCTGTATTTATTAGCTTTCTTGTATACAAATATAATTGAACTTTTTACCATTGGCTTATCGAATAGAGCAATGATTTCTGGACAAAATGAGACGTCTCCGAGCTCTCTAAGAGCTTTTCTCATGAAACAGCATTCAATTTACGGAAAGCCCTAAGAGCGTATTTTTCTTGTTTTCCCGTTAATTGTCCCGATTTTGATGGTATGGGACCTTGCATAAATTGAATTCTGTTTCATGAGAAAAGCTCTTAGAGAGCTTGGAGACATCTCGATTTGTCCAGAAATCTTTGCTCTACTCGACTAAACTAATAGTAAAAGGTTCAGTCATATTTGTACACAAGAAAGTCAATAAATACAGTTCTTTTTGGGTCACCCTGTACAACCTCAACGTGGACATACGATGGATATAAAATATTTTTCTCACAATCGAATAGTTTGGATTCTTTTTCAACAAAAGAGAATCTTCAAATTAGTGAATGTCATTTAAACTTTTGTTTTTTATAGATCGTTGTCGGAAATGTACAAAACTATTTGTTGTTAAGAATGTTTCGATTAGCTAAAAATGTATTAAAATTCTCAAATCTTTCTATTCCAATAAAGACATCATATCAGGGTAAGTACTAACCTTTCATATTTCATATTTTTATTCATATCGTATAATTTTATTGTTTCAGGAGTTCGAAAATATTTATCAGAGACATATCAATCATATGAAAAATGGGATGAAGCCATTTCAACGGATATTATTCAAAAAACAAATATAAGTAAGTTGATGATTGTGATTATACTAACATATCTTATTCAAATTATCTTTTGTTTGTTAGATGAATTGTTAATTGATATCGATGATAAACTTACACGAAAAAAATATGTTAGCTCATTGGACATTGAAATTGTATGTTTATTGGAAAAAAAACTATTTCAATTAACTTCTTCTCTCTATTTTTCTGTCTCTTTTTTTCTAGCTTGCAGCTAAACTGGCAAATGTCGAAACTACAGATGATTTAAAAATGACAGAAACAATATTGGAAAAGTATGTAAGTTGTTTCTTTCATATGAGACATGTGTATATCAAGTTTTTGTATAATATTTTAGATTTCGTTATACTCCAGAAGCATTAGAATTTCAACCATCATTAACATATTGTCTCGTTCGAAATTATCTTGATCTTGGACAAAAAGAACGAATGATACCCTTGTTACAAGATAAAGTAAGAAAACAAGACAAATCATAAAACTCTATTATATATCTTTTTTTTCTAGCTCAAATATGGCTTATATTTAGATCGATTTTCTGCAAATTTGATATTAAATGCATTTTTAATCGATAAAAAATATAAAGGTAACAAGTCATAAATATTCCGTTTATGTATGAAACTTTTTGATAATAATATCAATTTCTTCTGTTTTTATAGAAGCAACTCTTATTGCCACAGAAATTGCACTTCAAGAAGATGATGATGATCATTTGACACGAGCCTTAGCATTATGTGGATGTTATAATTATTATTTAACAGCCACCGATGATGATTTGAAAACAGTAATTGTTGAAGAAGAAGATGAAGATATTGTATGTCAACTTATCGATATGTTCTTATTCTCTGACAAAAAAGTATATTTGTCTTTTTTTTAGGTGAAAATAAAAGTGCCTTATGTTCGAAATTTAATCAACGATGATCATTTTGATTTGACGGATAAGAAAAAACTGTTAGGAAAAACAATGGCCTATATGGCAAGATATGCAGACACAAGTGGCATAGCATCGTTGAAAGTAAACAGTGAAATTGGACGACGATAAATAAAAACTCATGTTTTGTTCGTTTAGGTGATTGGTTTAGCGTTGTATCAGAAATTTGATCGAGCACATGATGTGTTGGAAGAAATACTGAATAATCCAAAGTTACAATTAGACGAAAGTGCTGTAAGTGGTTGATTGTTGTTCGTCATTTGAACAGTGAGTGCTAACTTGTTCTTTTATCAGCTACAAGTATTAGAAAAAGAAATAGACTCTTACGAATATAATGAAGTGGAAGATATACTACGTTTACCACAAAGTCCATATCGACCATTAGAATTGATACCAGAAGCAGCTGGAGAAAAAATAAAGGTAATATTCATCCTTCTACTTATAGAATAAATTATTTTTAAAATTTTGTGTTTTAGAAATTTTTGATACCAAAGTTACAATCAGCCAACCAAATCGTTAATCTTGATTTAAAGAACTATGTTGAAACATATTTAAAAGAACAATCGTTAGAAGCAGACAAAACTGATGTATTAAAACATGAACGTCAAATTTTTATTTGGACAAACGAACGTCAAGAACAATTGAATGATCAAATTTATCGTTTTCTTATTGAAAAACAAAAACAAAATTTATTCGAACGTATTGCATTATTAGAAGAACGAGATGAACTATTAAACTTTTTCGATAATGAATCGCAAATTGTTATGGCATCCGTCGAAAAAGATTTTGAAAATGAGCAATTTGAAAATATTAAAGCACCTAAAGAACATGAATATTTTGAAAGTGCTCGACTACATTATCACTGGGATAAACATGAGCCAAAACGAAGTTTGCATCCTAATAAAAAAGTACGTGATGAAGAAATGAGTGACAATAGAAATTGGCCATCGTATCCTTATTATGCTGAAAATTGGAAATATGATTTAACCGATTATGTACCATTAGCTGAAAAACATAAACGACGACATAAAGCTTTACCGCCAACGGGTAAACCACCATATTACAAACAATACTTTTTCTAACGTTGTTATATGTAGAATCTTTTTGTAATGAAATATATTGTTAAAAACAATACTGGAAACAGTGTTTTTTATTTATCATTTTACAAGATTTTGACGATAGAACTACGTTTTTTGAGCAAAAATTTGGAGACTCTTGTCATCAGTCTCTTTCATTATCATCATTCATTTAACAGTTTTGAACCAACTATGTGTTGAGATGAAGAGTCAGTTACAATACGACAAATGACATAAAAATAAGGAAGGCACACTAACTATTATCCATTAAAACTTATAATGCAGAACACTCTTTTTAGAATAACATTTGGTACATAAACGATAAAGAGATGTATTTTATCTGCACGACACTTTGTGCTCAATAAAAGTTTTAAAATCAATAGAAAATACTTTGGTTTTTGAAAGGATTTCTACAAATATTTTCAAGTGAGGGAATGCTTTTTTACCAATCTTAAGTAGAGACCACATTGAGAAGATAAAACAGAGTATATCTTGATATTCTGGAGTAGTCTGGATCGATTTTGAGTGAGTTATGAATTTTTTAATTTACGATGAAAATAGTGAAAAATATATTATTTAACATAATATAGGTTTCCACTAGATTTTTGACGTATTTTCTAAAAACAAACATTCCCCGAGATTTAGAATAGTCGAAAACCTATGCTCAATTCACTTCTGAGATTACCAGACATCAAGGTCATCTGATAGGCGTGCCTTCGGAGAAATTCTGCCACGCCCGAACGGTCTCGGACTTGCGTGGATGTGGAGCATAGATGTCAATGGATGTTTTGCATACTTTGAAACTATAGGTTGCTATAGAAACCCAGGAAATTTTTACCATTAGATTTTCCCCCAGTGTCTTCTATAAACTGGCGAAAACCGCATCTCTTTATCGTTTGTGTACCAAATGTTATGTGTTCTGCATTATAAGTTTTAATGGATAATAGTTCGTTTTCATATAGACTTTCATGAAATGTATGGTTAAAATCTGACATATGCCTACCGTGTATTAAACGAGGAAAAAACTAATGAATGCTGAGCATCAGACATACATATTTGATTCATTGTTTGAAAGATTTCTTTTTGAGTTTTATCGTAAAATCTATGAAATTCGAAAGTTAAGTTTACGTAGTCAAATACTACTAAATTCGATCGAATATACACGTAAAACAAAGACAAGTTAAGCGACATCTCAGAATGTGTCTGAGTGCGCTTTGCGAACGAAAATGATCAACAAGGTGAAGTTCGTAATTTAGACGTTATTATGTAAATTTAATATATTAAATACTCGTAATTGATAGAAAACTTTCACACATTACAAAATATATTATATTGCGATGTAGGCTCAATTTGAAAAGGTATATCGAAAAATCTACTCTTTATATCTTTTTCATATTCTTATGATCTTCCATTCGGTATATTGTTTTTAGAATAAATGATTGAAAGTAGTAAACTTTAATTAATGTATGCATACCATTTTTTTTTAAATGTGTAGTGGATTTTCTTTCCCGACTTCCACTGATTGCTGAGAAAATAACAGAACATTGTCAAATACAATTTAGTTATTTTATTTTATTGAAGAAGAAAATATTATTTCTATTTTTATATAATTTTACACTATGAGGATAAAAGATTAAAGAGAAAGAGGACAAATTCTTTTACATAGATATATCAGATGAAACATAGTATGCTGACATAAATGCAGCATAACTGAATTTTAACCCTTTATGCCCAGCAACTGATCATGCAAATCAAACTTGAAACGTGTATACCTTTGTGTAGACTTGATGAAAATTTTTTTTTTATTAACAATTCTTAGCTTATATAGTGTTAACTTACGCTGAAAAAAAATTCCATTGAAAAAATTTTGATTTAGCACACTGCATTACTTTTTTTATAGCAGTTATGATGATGTCCTCTGGAAGGGACAATCGGGCATAAAGGGTTAATATCAATAATTATGTATATTTCAGAAAATTATTTCTACATCATTCTTTTGTTTTGAAACATAGTAAATAAAAGTTTATTTTTATTCATAAACATTTTTTTGCGAATGAAGTCATGGTAATAAAAATCTTATCATTGTAAATAGTGTAAAATAAAAGTTTCATTCACTATTGCTTCATACAGCAAAAAGTCATTCTTTCGATACTATCTTAGTTGTTGCATTTGGTTTTAAGTTTATTTCATTTTTCACTTGTCTGTTTTAGATATACATAAATTTCACATTTTTTGTAATGTATGAAGCCTCGTGGTCAAGAATTCAATAGTCGTTCATTTAGTCGTACTCGTACAGCAATTCATACTTGTTTTTGATATTCGGATATTTATTAATTTTTTTGGCTAACTATATATTGTTTTTCTGTAAATTTCGCCGCTCGATCAAATATTTTCCATTTTTATTTTGGACAACATAACTTTTGTAAATTAAACCGGTGTAAATATTTTCTAATTTATTTTTAATTTTTATTATTTTTAAAAACTATGTTTATTAAACCCGAACTATTTCATGACACAGTGGATAATCCAACACCAATTTATTTGGTAATGATGTTTATTTTGGGACCGCTTGTATATAATCGGCAAATTAAACCACGTACTAATGCTGTTAGACAAAAAATTAGTAGAGGAATGAAACGAACAATGTCACGCTCGATGAACAGTATTGTTTGGTCAGCAAAAAAAGTGACAACAAGTGGATTACGTGTAGGAAAAACGTTAGTCAAAAAACCAAAAGGATTAATCAAGATTAAAAAGCCAAAAGCCCCATCAAGAGTAAGCACGATGATCTGTTTGATATAGTTGTACATTACTTAGTAGTGCATTCAATAAGGTAAGAAGCTTCCTTCGATAGTGAAACGTTTTTCTCTTAGCAAAAACAAAATTTTCTCGTTAAAAAGTTCCCTCTCTTTCTAAAACAATTGCAAACGAACGCTTCGACTCTGAAGATATTAGAGATGAGACCATTAAAGGTTACAATACCTAATTTATCAAATAAGTCAGTAAGGTCGTCTGATATGTCGAATTTTCTACTTTTATAGAGACAACTTGTTGCTCTCTTCAAAATGGCTGAAATCAGAACAAAGTACAAACTGAAGTTGCATTTGTTTGCCGATAAGCATAGGACGGTGGCTGTTTTATCGTATTTTAATAGTAGTTTCAATATAAACTTTACTTAATAAATTGTAAGCATCTGTGACGCATATATGTGTTATAAAAGCTTTTATACTAGATATACTAGGCTAAAAGATTACCCTTTACTAATAATTGGTCCTATTCGTAGGTTTAAAGTCAGTTTTATTTTATATTTAGGTATCTCTTTACAAATTACTACCACTAAAATTGGTCAGCCGTGTATTTGGATGGCTCTCTCGTTTGTATTTACCAGTTTGGTTACGTCCATTATGTTTTAAATTTTATATCAAATTATTTAAATGTCGTACCGAGGAAATGTTTAATGAAGATTTAACAAGTTATAAGACGATTTCAGAATTTTTTCGTCGTAAAATTAAGCTAAATTTACGTCCACTTGATACCAATGCACCAATCATTTCACCATGCGACGGAAAAGTGTTGACTTGTGGACGGGTATCTAGTGGTCTTATTGAACAAGTAAAAGGTATAACCTATACAGCGCAAACATTTCTTGGTAGTCCACTGACAAAAGACGATCATACACCTCATACTTATGCTGAATCATTGTTGAAATATCATGGACATGCATTACATTATTGTGTAATCTATTTGGCTCCTGGAGATTACCATAGATTTCATAGTCCAACAGAATGGTAAGATAATTTAGATATGTGCTGTTTCTATTTTAAATTTTGTTCTAAACATTTTAAGGCAAATTAGTTGGCGTAGACATTATGTTGGTCATTTATTTTCTGTTAATCCCTATGTGGCGAGTTGGTTACAAGATTTATTTTGTCTAAATGAGCGTGCAGCTTATTATGGCTCATGGACACACGGTTTCTTTTCTATGACAGCTGTTGGCGCGACAATAGTTGGCTGCATTAACGTTCATTTCGATCCTGTATGTGTTACTAATTGTTGCTTATGCTTTTTGATTCTATTGATATCTATTTAGGAATTGAAAACAAATAAGCGTCTCAGTCGTTTAGAATTGGAACGACGTTTTCAAACATCAGAAAACTCTAATGGTATTTTATTGTCACGTGGTGATAATTTTGGCGATTTTGATTTTGGTTCAACGATTGTTCTTGTATTTGAAGCACCCGATAATTTAGTTTTCAATGTTAAACCTGGTTGTCACATTAGACTTGGTGAACCATTATGTTTTTTTGATAAAAATTTGAAGATTATTGACAATCTAACATCGGGTTTGTCAGCAGGGACCACTGAAGTGAGTACATCCGAATACGAAGATGAGCAAGAAGAAAATGACGTGATGAAAAAAGATGTAAACATAGCGGTAGCAACAAAAGAAGATCTTGATGTTGCAGCACAAGCTGTTGAATCAGCTGAATGAACGATGGAATTCTTCTCAGAATAGACGATCATTTGACAATAAAAGACCATTATAAATGGTTTTATGCCAGAAAGTTGAGTTGAGTTGGTGGATTTGCCGGGAGCCAGCTCAGCTAGAAAATCCTTTGAGTCAGTGCCAGTTAGGCATGCATCGGTATTTATCGGTCGCAATTTCTCCGTTTTTCCATAAAAAATTGTTAGTACCACGAAATGATCTTTTAACGTTTTTTTGATGACTCATTATTGTAAAACAAGCATCTCTCTATAAAATAAGGTATAACAGCACTTTCCATCTTGATTCAGTACTCAGATAAAAAATGTTTGCCAAACGCCCACAACCGGTACCGGTCAATACCGGTTTAGGGCGTTTCGTCGAGCGGCGGTTGTGGCACAAAGAAAAGAGATGAAAAATATTTGCTAAGCAAAACTCAGTTGTCAAAAAACTCAGATAGTTTGTAACCTTCAGTCAATCTGATTCAGATAATAAAAAAAAAATATATTGGTAAATACCGGTGCATGCCCAGTACCGGTATGCATATCGATTGAACAAACAAATACCTAGCAAATACCACCTAACTTATTTAATACTGTTTCTATTCTTTTACGATTGTGATTTCGTTTTATTTTATTTATATTCGTTTTTGCTTGCTTGTTTTAGTGAATAAAGACAAATGTCTTGATATATAGAGCATGGACGATAGTGTATTGCTGATTTACGACAGGAAAATCTAAAGTTTATTATATGAACGGCGTGATCAGATGTTACAGAATTCCATTTTTTCATTTTCTAAGCCCCTTATCTCGGCAGAGAAAAAAGATGAGCTCTTTTGTACAGAATTTGATTCTCAATACGACGGTATAACAACAGTCTCGATCAAAAGCGACACACTATCCTTATCTCATAATTCAAAAATGAGTTTCATTTGTATTGAGTAATAATAACAGATAAGAAAAATTTTCATTAATATATAAAGAAGCGGTGTTTCATCATCGAAACACCTTAAATAACATTGACAAAAACATTGTGCTTCGAATTGCTCTGTTTTTCAGTTAGTAGGGAGATAAGTACCAACGTCGATTCGATGTCCTACAGAGACATGCAACACGACTTATCAGACCGATTGTTGAACACTTGTGGTGACCATCGGCGTAGCAAGCAAGCAGTGGCTCATAAGTCGATCATGTGTTTAACAACGAAATTCATTGTGACTTGTGCGAACTAAAACGATTTCTCATCAGGTGATTGCAATATGTTGAGAATAGCGGAGAGACATCCATGGTCATGAACATAGTAAAATGCTGTAATAACTGATTAAACAACCTTATTACATCAAGAGGAGACAACCGCGCCAAATACTAGAAAAAACCATCGATCAATGTGACATTGTTAGTTCGAGAACAGATATCTACTTGGCAAGAGCACTGATTCCTCTTTCTTTGTGCTTCAGAGTCTGCATATAATAGAGGCGAAGAAGCTGAACTCTGGACAATGCACATTTGTTTAGACGTGACACAATTTCAATCGCTTGCGAATGAATTGATTCTTGAAGTCTTTGAGTATATCGACGCTTATGATATTCTACACTCATTTCTTGGACTAAACGACCGTTTCGACTGGCTACTAGGTAGTCATCGTTTTGACTCGCAGTTTCATGGCACCAGCCAATTCAGATGTAACTTTATATGCGAACACTTTTCGTCAACGGCACAAGTTTGTTCTCTGTGTCTCGGAGAACAGACTTGCGAATACATCGACCTGTTCTTCGACCGTTTCTCAACGAACATATGGGACAATCTTCGCTCCTTATCAGTGGACCATTCACATAGAACAACTAATCAAAACCGTGCTGTCACAGTTGCCCTCCATGACACACCTATCGTCATTGACACTGCGTATGAAACGGGCCATCTCTCATAACACGAAACATGCAAACACATTCGACTGACTCCCTATCTTACTCGCAAACCAGTTGAAAGAACATCACACTCTTACTCATCTCAGATTTGGAACCGGACCGGCCGGTTGACTGGTTACCGGTCCGGCTGAGCTTTTCGGTTAACACCAGTTTTTTGCTGGTTTTTTTACCAGTCTAATCACACTTCAACCGACGGGTTGCTGCTTCGAATCACAAGCGAAATATGAATACTGCACAACAAAAGTTCGAGATATCAACTGGAATCCTCCAAGGGGGATTGAAAAAAGGCAGTAGATCCAAAAATAATAAATTCATTTAATAAATTCATCCAAATATATAAATTCATTTTACATTTGTGCTGTCACTGGTGAATTTCGTGTATAGATGAACACAGGTTAAAATTTTCTCTTATTATTTTCTTTCTCATTTCGTCCGAAAAAATTTCCTTCTTCATGAAAAATTAGCCAGAAAAAAAAGTTTTTCTTCTTCACTAAAACTTGGTTAATCTATATTCTTTTTCCTACTGAGCTTCATACATCAGCAGAAATTAGTCCGAGGATTTTTCTTCGTTTCGTATTGAGTTGAACTTCGTGCTCAATACTCCCCCTTAATACTGAAATAACCAGAATAGGAAGACTGAAAATACACAAGCTTAGCTTTCTGCAAAAAATCGGTTTTTTACAATATGGCTGAAGCACTGGAAGTGGATAATACTCTCGCACAGCTTAATCTTTATGGAAACCAAATATGTGCTCGAGGAGGCGAAGAACTGGTTGAAGCATTGAAGATGAACAACACTCTTACTCAACTGATCTTTCTTGAAACCTTATAGCCTTGTAACTTTTATTGTCGGAAAAGTATGTTTCTTACATAAAAATGACTTTTGAGCACCCAGGACCTCATATCAATCAAAAACAAACAAATTCTACAAACCCAAAAGCCAGTCGTAGGTTAACAATCACTAAAGCCAAACGAACTTTAATACGTTAATTTTTTTAATAACATAGTTCTTAGCTATTTGTTTCTGCGGCATCATAACCGAAGAGTTTCGCACTTTTTGAATAGTAGTCGGCACCTAATAATCTCGGACTTCTAATATTATAATATTAATAATTTCTAATATGAATAATATCAAAATTAGTTTTCTTCACACTACCATCTTCATCACTATCATTATTCGATAATAATTTGTTCAAGTTCATCTTGTATTTATTCACCAAACCATTCAATTGTAATCGATTTTAAAGCCTAAATAACGTTTTTCATCAAAGTTACTCATATAAAACGATGGTAAAAAAAGTAAGGTTCAACTTTTATCGGATTTTTTTTCATGTTCACTCATCGTAAAACCATCGACGATAAGGTGTATCATCCGCGTACCACCTCCACACCACACATGGATCTGGTTTTGGAGGTACCCATCATTTTACCAAATCACCGTAGTTCAGTCTTCTCGGTAAATCGTGAGTATTTTCATTTAATCCACCCTAATCCCATGTCTCTTACACCAATCCTTGACACAGTGGAGTTTATTCACGATCGGAGTTGAAAAAACGAGTTCGTGGAGCTGCGTTTCAAAGTTACCTTCCCTCATTTGTCGTCGAGGTTAAATCGCCGCAGCAAACGTATCAACAACAACGTGAAAAAATGACTTTTTACCGATCTAAAGGTGTAGCCGTCGGCAGGCTTATACTGCCATCAACATCTACAAAGAACCATGTGTTGGAAATTTATGAACCAGGTTGTGCCGTTCAAGTAATTGATTCAGCAGGAGTGGTTTCTGCCACACTTGATGCCGGTCTCTCGCCATTTCACTTCGATTTCAATGATCTTTTCGCTGACAATTAATGATTATGAACAATGTTCCTCAATTTATGTAAATAGTATATATTGAAAGTTTAAATGAGTTCCAATGCATAGGTAAGTCTTCTGGTACTATGTGCACTGCTAATTTTTAGTGTTGTTCAATTATTTATAGTAGTTTAATGTACGAAAATTACGTAACTATTGTAAACATTTCTGTCACAAAAGAAAAGTAGAAATTGTTGTGGATACACCCAGGTCATTCTTGCCCGGTCGGAACCGGCCGGTTCCTTTTATGTTCCGGCCTGTTCCTTGCAACCGGATTCCGGCTGACTGTTCCTGCGGCAGGTTCCGTTCTGTTTCCGACCGGTTCCAGTCGAAAAAGTCTTCGGAATTTTCCGAGCCGGAAATCCAACAGAATCCGGTGGTAGGAACACGCCGGAACATAAACGGAACGGCGACGGAATACAACGAAACCGGTCGGTTCCGGTGGCCGGAACGATCGATCTGGGCAGTGGAAATGGACGGCGATCGTGGTAGGCTTAAAACAAGCATAAAAAACACCTTATTTCTTTTACATTGTTTTATCATATCCTGAATAAATTAAGATGAGGTTCATCGTGTTTTTCGTTTTGTGCTTCTAAAAATACTAAGGTGCCGAGTAAATGTTATAACTGAGCCCGTGTGTTTTTTTCTTGCTTTTTGTAAAACATGCTAATTATCTGTTATTCAACAAAATAAAGTAGTGTTTCTTAATATATATATATGACAGAAGGAAAAAACCAAAGGACGGGACACGGTTTCTGCTAGAAATGGCCCAATATGATTTTGAGTGAAAATGATCGGAAATGCTTCCCTTCCCACTTTCAAAAATTTCTTCTGGTGTCTTTCAAATAAAAATTACTTTTTATTTTTCGCCACCAGTTCAACAAATGTCATTTATCCTTTTCCACTTATTTCTCGTCCGATTTCAAAGTCCTTGAGCAAAGGTCATACATAGTAACATAGAGAATTTTCTGGGTTTCAAAATGAGCTATAAATAAGTGTTTCAAAAATATGCCCATATAAGTCAATAGTCGAAATACTTGGGCAATGTCAAAATTTTCATCTATCTTAGCGCTTTAAACACGATTTTAGTCATTTTTCTGCCTTAATAAAAAATTATATATATTTCAAAAACATACCAATGGATAGCCCTTTAAATTCTCTACAAAGTGAGCTAGTTGGAATGTCCAGACAGATCGGGTCAGTCTTTAACTACATCGAAGAGAAGGGTTTGGGT